GCATACTCGGCATTCTTGGTAAGGTTATGGTTTAGTTGTTGTTTGGTGCAGTAAGCGTGTCTCGAATCACTCACTCATACAGAATGTTCCTCAAAACGACAGTTGTGTAATATCTCTCCGAACTGATTTAATGTCAATTTGCTCTAATATTTGCTGAAAACAGTAATTTTGTTTCAACCGAAATCTCTTCAGATGGCTACGCCACGTCTAATGGAGCCGTACTATTTTGTTGAAGTGACAGCGCCTGCGGATTGTGTCAGTTCAGTGTATACAGTATTGGCTAAACGACGTGGTCACGTCACCACAGATGCGCCAATCCCTGGCTCACCACTCTACACGATAAAAGCGTATATTCCAGTGATTGACTCATTTGGATTTGAAACCGATCTGAGAACGCATACACAAGGACAAGCGTTTTGTTTATCGGTCTTCAGCCATTGGCAGGTCAACTTTTGTGATAATTTTCATTCTGATTTATTTTGTTCGCAGACTTAGTTCNNTAACCCATAAAAGACTATGGGAAATCAGTTTCGTTAGTGAAATTCCATTTTGTCAACTCACAGGTTGGATGATATTTGGTTGGCACTATGTACTGAACTGAAGTCGTTCCATTTGTTTGGTTTTTTATTCACAAATCAGCGACTACTTATTAAAATCGCTGATTATGTCGCGGTCAAAATCTGTTGTAATATAATTAGCAGTTTGTACGGTTTGATTGTTTCGTATACTTTACAGAGCGCAAAATATCTTTCAGGTATTGTTGAAAAGTGACTAGGAAACAGTACTATGTTGTGACATGTTTGACTGAGCGGTCATCACTTGCCGTGATAGTGTCCAAAATGATTGCTTTCGTTATTTTTAGATAGTGCCTGGTGATCCTTTGGATAAGAGTATTGTGATTCGACCTCTGGAGCTGCAGCCTGCACCGCATTTAGCGCGTGAGTTCATGGTGAAGACACGTCGACGAAAGGGATTGAGTGAGGACGTGTCAGTCAATAAATTCTTCGACGATCCTATGCTTTTGGAGTTGGCCAAACAACAGGATGTATTCAGTTATGCCAACTTCTAAATGACTTCGTAGTGTTACCGTTACTTCATAATATTTAAATCACATTACTGTTATTGTCATTTTATCGCTGCTGTTTCGTACCTCATCGTAATTGTCACTGGTAAATGCGCGATCAGTTTGAGGAACGATCGATCCCACTCCCTAAAACTTGGCGACTATCGCTGAAGGGTATTTTCCTAAACCGTTCTGCATTCATCTGTATTATCTGCAATTCATGCAAACTACTAATCCATCATCGAAATGTTTCATATTTCAGCCCAAAAAACAGCTTCATTCAAGCCGTTGATACTTTTGTTGTTATTGTAATTTGTATACGGGAATGACGATATGGCAAACAATTTAGTGTACGGTTTGGTTAATGTTCAGAAATGTTTTTTAGAGGGAGAGATGCACTGCATTCACTGAATGAACGATTTAAAACTGAATGTATCTCCATAGTTAAGTGATGGAGAGTACATCTTATTCACAGAACTATTTTGTGCTATTTAATTGATTTTCGATTTAGTTGATTAAATGAATCGTCATCGTTCAACATGAATATTTAGATGACGTTGGTTATTTATTTAGTAAGAAAAATGTTGTATAACGGTTCTTTTTTTTCATTTATTATCGCTGAATTCTATTTTTTTCGTAATGATCAATGTTTATGAAATCTTTATTTTTTGAACTTTTTCTCTGCAAATTTTGCTTCGAGAAGCATGTGAATTTCACGTGTATTTATCATGCACTGAGATGTAATTTATATGCATTCAAATTTGTTCCGTGTTGCCAGAGAAATTGGTCATAGCATCGTTCAATCTCTCATGAAAACAGTCATTTCGTCAGTGTTTTGGCGGATTTAAGTGATCTGAGCAGTATCGCAAAAAAAGAGAACTCAACCTGAGGTCAGCTCATGATTGAACTTTTGATTGTAGTCAAGTCTGAACTCGTCAAGCAAGTCATTAGTAAGATGTTCATAAGCTGTCGTGAAAAGTACGTACAAGAAAACGAGGATGTACTTTTTGTCTGTGCAAGTTCGCTGAATAAGTGAAATGTTGATGACGAGAATAAGAGTACGGTAGTGTTCCTGAAGCAATTCAATTGTAAGAATTTGCTTTTGGTGATTACCGTCAATATTATTGTGTTGTTGTGGTGGTAATTGAAATGACTGATGTTATGGTCGCTTTGGATTTTTCGTTGTTGTTGTTTATTTTTGTTTTTATTTATGAATGTTATTCACATTCTACGATTCATTGTTTTGTTGTTGAATCACGTTATGTTTTGTCCAATAAATATTTTTTCAATCTTAGAAATGATTAATTCGATTGCAACAAGACATTTGCCTTTTTCGTTGAATAATTTATAAGCAATGAGACATTCACTGGTTTTCCGTTCCCTAACGGAACTTCAATTATACAGTTAAGCGATCGAAATCGTTCTGTTATTCTGGCGATATGAAAAATTAATATTTACTTTAGACAAATTGATCCTTTTTTGAGAGTGAGAATACAAATGTATTATTTACAAGTGTACGTGATGAAAAATACGAATGAACATCGTTCATCACGTTTTACTGTAAGTGACATTGTGTTTATCACATGATTTGATGTCATATTGCGTCGTCGTCTCATGACTAACTGACTTCATGTTCCCTTCACACCTTTACTTCATCTGAAAAGGAAAAAATTATGAAAAATTAACTTCAACGAACTGTTTACAATTCATTTTGCGGAACAATATGAGACATCTCTTTTGGACCGGTTTTCAGTTAGGAAAACANACTAAAATTATAGCAATATGATAATAACAGAGTTACGGTTGAAGTGAATCGAAGCGAAAACAAATGAAATGTAAGAAATCATAACAATAGATGTGTATTACCTATGGTTTCGAGCTGTGGCTTTTCAACGATATTCTCCTTATTAACGGGTGGTGCCACATCGTTAGCGTCAAAACTTTTTCGCATCGATGTTCTCCAAAAACCACTCGCAATGCTCACGTCGTCTGCGTCTGCTTTCTCCTCCTTCAGACGACTGTGCTTCATTATTGAGGTTTTACTTCGACGGATCGAAACACGTCTCACAACATCAGCTACAATTCAATATTGATTATCATCATTTTAGGAGATTACAGATTTTGACTCATTATTTTCAGTAATTTTTTCGCGTCATCACAACTAATCATCCATGGTGAATGTTTTTCTTAACTGTTTCTGAATCGGGCATACATATAAACAAAATCGATAACTGATCATAAATATTGCTTGAAACGATCGGTTGAGTCCAATGAATTTATTCATATGCATTGGAGCATTGTCATTTCTGATACATTCGTGGCTACTACGTGAAAAGAAAACCCATAATAGAATTACAATTGTGCTCGAAAAATGTATAATTCCTTCTGCTGCGATATCACTAAAAGCATTGTAGTCCGCACTTCCATGCGAATGTAATCCGTTTTGAGTTAGCCGCACTGACAGTCAGATGTCTCACCCACTTTATGCCCCATCAGCAACATTTTTTCTATTCATCGAAAAGTATCGCTGATAAAAATTCAGTGTAATCAAAGGCGATTCGAACGAAAACTAACACAATCGTCGCACAATCTCCTGCATGCTCTGTTGTGGCTCCTCTTCTTTGGCCCATTCTTGCAGCTCACCGCTACCGAATATCAGAAATGTTACCAATCCAATAATATCAATACCCACCGCAATCAAAAATGAGATTCTCCATCCGATTATCACCCCCTGCAATGCGATAAATTACATTCGATCATCTCTCGCAAATTATTTTTCAGTAAAATCAGTTGACTTCGTTTTGTGAGTTTTGCTTCGATGCAATGTCAATGCGTCTTTATTCTGACTTATTTTTCAGTAATTTTGTCGCAAATACTCATTCATAGTTTTTATTTGAATATGCAGTCCCTAATGATGCAGTTTACCTGGCTGTGAACGAGTTGTTCGAGAATCATTCCACTGACGCCAGCTAATGCACCAAGACCATTCGAGAAGCCCATAAGAATAGGAGCGTATCTTGGTGCGATATCGAAGTGATTCACATTGAAACCTATAAAGAAGAAATCCGTTTTTCGTTTGAAACTATGTGGATCTTAAATCCGTAGATTTTGCTTAATCAATAAAGATTTTTGCAAGATTTTCGCAATTGAAGTGAATGTTTTGATTGATTTCAGTGAACACCAAGGTTGATTGATAATGAAGCGTTGCTTTATGATAGCTGATTGAATTTCTCACAAAAGCGATTCGTTGACATGAACAACTAATGAACTGACCAGCAATTGCAAAACCACTACATCCACACGATATCACCAGTATAGTGATCGCTATCGTTGGATCTTGGATGAACGCTAAGCAGCACAAAAAAGTCGCTTCAGCTGCGAAACCTGAAATTGAATTTCTAAAAATTTGTGAACGATAAGTTGAGTATCTATCATTGATCACGAGCAGTCTGACAGTTGGTTGCTCGCACCTCTCTAAAAACAGTCGAAATTGCCCAACTGATATGTCACAAGAAGTCAGCTGTGTCGAATATCACGTAAGGAATCAATATCATTGCGCGGAGTTATTTAGTTGTTGGCATGAAAAAGGCGAACCTATTGAATTGAACAGTCGTCTGGTAGCAATGGTTGATAGTTTTCCTGTGGAACGCAAATAATCAGCCATTTGACCGGAACACAGCACAACTATAGCCATCAGAACATGAGGTAATGAACTGATAATACCGCCCTGGAAAAGTGAGAACATACTGATCGACATTCGATCGAAACTATCGTCGCCATAGGTACAAAAGCGATTCATTTCATTGACACAATTTATGTGTGACGCAAAAAGTTAAGTTGTCATTTGGAACGGATTTAAGGAAAAATGAGTGGAAACGGCGGAAATGAAGAGGTACAATCGAGAAATTACACTTGAATGAAAGTACCCTCTATCACAAAAATTGCCACTCGAAAACCCAATAGAACTGCGAAACAACAATGCGTAAGTATGTTACACTGTGTATTTGAAGATGCAACACATCAGCCATGTAAGTCAGCTGATTTCCGAGAAGCAAGAAGAACGTCCACGAACGGCAAAACGTGCAAACCACTATTGCCCAATTGGGTAACGACAGGAAAATTTGTTTCCATGGGATTGTTGTCAACTGCAATCGAACTTTACAGTGAATGTTCACTAGATGCTTTCAATCGATGGTAGATTCGAACCGTAATGCAACTTCATAGCTTACAGTGCTTGTTTAATTTCGACACTTTCCTGATGAAAATGTTCATGAATTTTGTGAATAATATTAATGCGCTGTTAACTGAGGCTAAAATCCAGGTAATAATATTAATTGAGGTTAAAATCCAGATAATAATATTAATTGAGGCTAAAACAATGTGCACGGAAACGCGAGCATTGTGGCCAGCAACGTTACAAACGCTTGATAGCCTGGCCAGTCCAGGTAATTAATGCGCTGTATGTACGGTAAATGAGAACATGTGCTCAGTGAAATGCTCAAGTGAACATTGTTAACGATAAAGCGTGTGGCAAGTTGACATGCTTTCTACTATCTCAAAGTAATCAATTAATTTTAGCAGTATTGCTACTGAAAACTTTTCATTAAAAATCGCATTCTTTTGAATTATTCAGTTAACGTATTTCACTCGACAGCAATTGAGTGAATGTTCTGAGGTGAACGTCAGATCAAAACTCAATAATTCTTCTAATAATATAACACTGACGGTGGCTGGCGACGAAGACACTTGTCCGACGTGTTCAATGATGTATCGGCGCTCACTTTCACTGATATTGCGACATTTCGCCGGTGTTGCTGCCGACACACGCAACCAGAAAACTGTCCATATGATTCCAGCGACACCTTCAACATTGCTGCTTTGTATTTCCCCTTTCTTAGCCGAACTGCTACATTCAAAATTAATTCTTTCTTTCAAAATTCGATTCATCTTGACCAATTATTATTACCATTCACCTTCAATTCTAACTTACGATGTTCACTACATTCAGTCATGACGATAAAATCGTCATTGCATGTTGAATAATGCCCAAAATGAAAATCGAAACGCATCTTCTAACAATTATCTTCATCGAGCGAGACTGTTACTAACCGTAGAAATAGAAAGGCGCAGACCAGTCAACAAACGAGACAAGATATGCGGATAACGGTAGTCCGGTCATAACGCCCAAATAACATCCTGTAAATGTTGTTGTCGCCAGTTTCGAGCGTTCCATCGGCGGCGCCCAATGACGCCAAACACCATGCATCGCCGGATAAGTCACTCCCTAGAACATAAGAAGTATTGTATTCAGTTCGTTCCGTATCGAGCACAGTCATTGGACACATCTATGACTGCTTCGGATACAATTTCGGAGTTAGATAAAGGCCAATGTCGAGTGCTCACCAATGCAAGTCCCTGTGTCACTTGAATCGCAATAACAACAGAATCGGTGATGGGATGGGCTTCAAATGCAATCGCCAGAAATATATTGAGTATAGATGTGATCAGTATCGATAAGCCGAATAATCTGCAACAAATTAATTACTCCAACNTTCGCTCACAAGGAGACAAACGTAAAGTAGCGATTTAACTCAATGTCTTTTTATGGAACATGTCAATAACGCTAAAAGTCAATGTCCTGAAGCTCGTAAAACGTGTTTATTTGTTCCGGAAACTCATCCACGTTTGTTCCTTGATTAGTAAAAGAAAAACATAATATTGTTTGATCGAAATGAAGACTGGCATAATGTCATTGTTAGGAATTTAAAAAAAGCCGTTGTTCACAATTAGAGGTGCTTATTATCCGATAAATTCTAACTTATACTGATGGAAGGGCATCCATCCTAAGTGCAATGATCTTGAAACAAGCAGATAGTTTAACAACACTCAAATGCGTACACATTCGGTGCAAATTTAGCAGCGAGCATGCCTCCTGGGATTTGTGTTAGCGCATAACCGTAGAAGAATGCACTCTCCATAATGCCGAGTTCGGTCGGTGTCCAGAAGAATTGTTGCGTCTGAAATTTTCATCTCAACATTATACACTTTCTCTTCTAAAAAACGTGTTCTTGCAAGCTGTATTCTTTCATCATCCACTTTTTATTTCCGTGAAAATCAGTGAACTCACGAAATTATTGCCGTACGGATCGGTGAAATTGTTGATCATTCGTCCTTTGGCCGCTCCAAAATTGCAACGAATTCCAAATGCGATAATCAGTCCCAAATTCGACATCAAAGCTATTTGCCATCGTTTCTTGCCAAGAAAACATGTTTCCTGCAGTAACGAAGTTCCATTGAATCGGGATTTTTTTGCACTTCGCATTAATTGTGCTAATCAGCTTCTTGATGTTTTGTGTTCGAAATGTCTGTCTTATTGTAAAGGGGAAGAAAGTAAATTCAAATGTGATAGGTGAAAATTTAGGGAATACTTAGTGAATTTTCCCAATTGATTGATGAAAGTGCGAATACAATGTTGAATTATAATAATATAGAATTGTTTGACAAATAACCTGATTTGGAAAGGGGGGAGGAGAAGGAACAGGATTCCGAAGTGAATGCTTCAAGAATCATGAAGCAGAAATGAGAGTTCAAAAAGTGCATGAATCTGTTGATTGAACAATTGGGAAACGTGTTTAATCATTTTGATATAGTTACCTACGTCAAAATAATCCCTAATCAGCTGATTGCTTGCTCATTCGAATGTGAT